TTTTATTGAAACTAAAATCTAGTTTGATTAAGTTTAAAAAATAGTATATATTGTTACTAAACACAAAAGAGCTACAAAACATACAAAATAAAGAAAGTACCGTAAATAATAAAAAAAAAGTTTACTGTTATTTAGTTTGGTTCAAAAACCTACAAAATCTTCATTGCTGTCACTGTAATTTATTTTTTTATTGTTTAGGGAGCATTATAAATAGTTATGTTTTTGAAAGAAAAAAAACTACTATTGTTATAAATAATACATTCAATTGAACTAAACTATGCATGGCTATTTATATATATTTACACATGGCTTGTGTATATCGTATATATACATATATATTATTCATACCTTCGGGGTATAGGATGCAAGCAGATTTTGACATCAAATTTTGGGGTAAAAAGTGCGTCTTATACACCGAAAAATACGGTAAATAAATAAAATCGTATTCTGCACTTTTGGGCCGATGGTATGTTATAAGAGTGACAATCATATTTCACTACCCGACCAGAGTAACCTAAGAGTTGGTGGTAAGAGCTATTTATTAATGGCCTTCCTTCTAATTCTAGTTTGTTTGTCGAAAATTAGGGACAGGTATCGTTGATTGCTATGCGCGAATATCCGAAGCAAACAAACACCAATTTAAGTATATTATTTTGCTGGAAAGTATAATTGATAATTCTATCTATATTTATTATAATTTCTCCTCATTTTTATCTATACAAGATATCGTTCGAAGACAGGTTTTACTTTTAGGCCTTTGTCCTATTTTATTTTAGGTTTAATAAAATAATAAAACTGTTTCAGGATTGAAATATTAATAATATGAAAGAAACATTTGTGACTCGATAGTGTTTGAACTTTAAATTAGTTTAATGAGTTAGTTTAATTTAGCGTAGATTCTGCAAGGTTAGATTGGAATAATATAATATATTTACCTTTTTAAATCTTATAATTGTATTGTAATGTTTAGCGATTGAAAATGTGTCGCACTAATTTATTATTACCTAGGCCTACAAAACGTCGAAAGTTAGTGCATGTGATCGTAATTTGTTGGTGAATCAGCTTTTTAAACTAATTACTTGGGTAATATCATTTTTAGTTTCGTGTTCAATAAATGAAACATTACTATTCATATAATAAAGCTTGTAAGTTACAATTAATGCAAAAGCTCTGTCAAAAATCATACTATATTTGACAGTACTACTACTACTACTAGTTCTAGTCTTACAAGTTACACTGTTATCGTTAAACTTAAAGTGTTATTGTTAAGTGTCATACTATTACTATAGTCTTAGACTATTACTTAAGAAATATTAATAATTTACATTGAATTTGAATATAACTTTTTACAAGTTAGAAAACCTTTTTGGCCCACAAAAATACCTTCTAATTTATCTCAATGAAAGTTCGTTAACTAATCAAAACAAAATTAAACTTAACCCCTTACTTTCCATATATCTACCCAACAAAAATTGAAATTAAAATAATTTATAGGAGCAACATACACCATATCATTGAAAACCATTTCACAAACTTATGTGTAACAAAAACATTCTGTTAACACCTGCTTATTAGCTTACAAAACTTTACAGTGGTCAATCCTGATATTCAGGTTCTTTCTCTCTCTTTTTTTTCTAGCATTTTTGTTAACTGAAGGCTCTGTATTCGATGACGAGGAACCCACTTTGAGACTAGTAATGGTTGGAGACGGCCTGAATGGGTAATGAAGAAAAACTTTAAGTCTAACATAACAGCAAATGTACAACGTTTCGACAAAGTGATGACAAAACCTTTTCGAAACGTTGTACATTTGCTGTTATGTTAAACATATTAAAGTTTTTATTCATTACCCATTCAAGCCATCTCCAGCCATTATGAAGGCTCTGTAATTACCCATAGGAAAACTATCCAGTATCCTACTGTGAATACTGCATCTAATATCTGTTGCATTTACATCCACAATATTTCCATATATATGCTCAAATTAAATTTAAATGATTAATAGATGTAATTTTTTACACAATGTAATACCTCCTGTGAAGTAGCAGTTTCATTTTGTGACTCCAGTCATCTAAAATTATTCTCTCAAAAACCTCGTATCTTACTTTTTTAAGCCAGATGTCATTCTAATGGACCTCCTAGGAATTGTTTCTAACATTGTTATTCCTTCAGTAAGGGAACCAAAACTGTACAGAGTGCTACATAAGAAGCATCTCTAGTTTGACACAAAACTACAGTAAATTATTAGTAGAGCCAACAGCTATTATTTGTTAGCCATTTAACTGAAGGCTTTAGGGATTATGTAGGTACTTGGTGTAAATGCAATTTTAAGAGAAACTTAATATGATTTTTGCACTAATTTAGCAATATATTCTTGTTATTTTTTAACAGATTTTTTTTTTTTCAGGAACAATACAACAAGAAATATCACAACTGTGATTAACTTCCAACAAGAAAGGTAAAGTTTATGAACTCATATTGCTTGTGGTTTTTGATATTAAAAGACTCCTTCAAAGACCTGTTTATATTCTGTTATTTAAACACAAGGTAAAATGATGTACCCTTTTAGCATATTTTTTATAGCTTTTACACAATGACAGTATACCTACTTCCATTTTTTGGCAGTGAATAAAATTGTGAAGAGTAAAGTTAGTAATGTGGTTACAGATATATTGTAAACTTTCAAACTTATTAGGTTTAATTTTTTGTAATAAGTGTATATACAAAACTTCATACAAGCTATAAATTATGATTAATTAAGCTTCATTATTTATTTAATTAAATCTTTTTGGGACAATAATATCTCAAAATTTGCTGGGAAAGGCTTTTTTCTGTAGAAAGTTATTTTGTAGAAAGTTCAGAGGAAACTGGATGCACCTTTGATTGTGCAAAATCTTTGAAACCTGGTTTTTAGTATTATGAAGTACAAATTGGCACATTTCATTTATGTAATTTTAGAAAATATTAATTTCTTGCGCAACTGGAACATCACTATTGTGATGAAAAAAGGGATTTTATTTGTGTTTATTGATATATGTGTCTGAAACCTGCTGAGTATCAGGACATGTTGAAAAGATCTAATAAAATTCTGAGATTTATTTATAATTATTTTGATATTCTTGGTAATGTGAAGGTTTGGTGAGGTCTCAAAGTAAGATAGACATATTAGAATGAGTGTAATGGGCTAGAAAAGTATTTGTCTTAAAAATTGGAATTATGAAGAGAGGGGCAAAAATTTATACCTACTTATTCTGGAATGTAGAAAACTAAGAGTTGATTTGATTCAGTAGTGAGGTCTAACTTGGAATATTGCACAAGTTTTGGTATTTTTATGAAATGATTATTGGCTTACTATAAAGATTTCAGGTAAAAACTATCTGTACAATTCCAGGAATGGAAGAGTTATGAAGAAAGGTTAAATTTTCTTATTTAGTTTTATTATGAAAAAAATAATAAGAGTGATTTTGCTGAAGTTTTCAAGATTTTCCAAGAGATTAACATAACCTATGGTAAACAAGAAATTATTTTATTCTTCAAGACTGCCCTTGCACACCCATCCTTGGAATTAGTAATCTTCAAAAACATCAAATCTTACCCTTCTATTTGATAGGATAAAGAGATCTGATTTCTTTATGCTGAGTTCTAAAGATAGTAGGATGAGAGAACACAAGTTTTGAAAAATGACAGGCTTTAAGCTACAATCACAACAATTTTATATTTCTAACAGGATGATTGAATAATGGAATCAGTTGTCATCAGCAGTAGTCAAAACCAACATGTTAAAAGTTTGTGGGAAATTAATGATTTCCTGAAAAGTAAAGGGTGGATTTAAGTTTTTCTTTTCTTTTTCTTGTTGAATATTCAGGAACAATCCTGAAAATGCAAATAATCTTTTGTTATTTTTATGTTATGTTAAAATTCTTGAGGGCTTGGGTAAATACTTGTGTGAAATCTGCTGGAAAGGTGGAATGATGGGGTTGGATATGAGAATTAGAGTTTTTAAGAGTTAATAAGTATAGTCTAAGAAAGTCTTGATCCGTTCTTGCATGTTTAGTTTGTTTTACTTTTGTGTAAGAAGTATAATTTTTTTTATTTGGTTTGCCAGGTTATGTTGGAAGTGTTCTTTTAGTTTTGTTTACGTTGAGTCAACTAGATATATGGATGCAAAAAGCTGTATTTAGTTTTGGGTTTTGTCTTGTTTTTGTAATATGACATGCTGAATGGTTTCACCTTGCTCCTTAAGTAGACTGGCATAGGTCAGTTTGTTCATATTTATTAACATAGAAAATCATCATTAATTTTTTGTGTGCTAGTTTTCACTATCTTTCAAGTAGAAAAACAAAGACTTTCGTTTTTTTGGTAAATGTTGTGCTGAAACAAAAAGATTGAAACTTAAGTTTCTTTTCATGTCTCTCAACCAAACACAATAAAAGTAAATAAATCTATATATTAATCTACAAATAAGTTAAATACATATGTAGGGACCTGTTTGATGCTTCTGAAACTAATGATTTTAGAAGAAGAAAATAATGACAGACCTTGTATGCTCAGAGACAAGCAAAGAATTAATTGATGCAGAGTTAGGCCTTACAGAAGATTATTTTTCTCGTCCAGTGGTAAGCAAGTTTATTGGTTTTGACAAAACATTTTATGTATAAGTTATTTTTCTTTTGCATAGAATAAGTGATAAATATGAAGTAATTTTTGATGTTAATGCTTTTTTTATTTATTTGTTTGTTTTTGTTACAGGATATTGTTCCCATAATATTTCTTAATGTTTATTGTTCGAAGAACCCACGAATGACTACTATGTAATTAGTGCTGACATATGTATGGATATTGTAAAGTATTTTAGGGCATGAGTTGATGAAAGATATTTATTATGAGGCAGCTTAGTTACAGAAAACACTTAGGGCCATTTAGATCATCTTCAATCTGTAAAAAAAAGTATTTATAATAGAAAATTTAGGTAAAATGTGTATTTCAGTAATGATATTAATCAAAAAGAATTCAGAAGTATTTATACACTTCTCTGAACTATAAAGGGCTATTACCTTTTGGTACTACCATGAAGATTTTTGTGCACAACACAAGTATTGAATGCAGCTCCCATTCCTAGACATATTAATGTGTACTGCATCAGCATATGATGTAATTATCATTAGACTGTGTTCCTCCACCAATAGGAGGGCAACACATCCTCCATGCACAATAATTCTCATGAGCACCAGCATATGAACAAAGGCTTGTTCTTTTCTTGGCACTACTTTGTTTAAATGTTTTTTATTAGGAATTAATGGCATTTTAACACTTATTAATTTAAACTTTTATCCTTTATTTAATGATGACAATAAAAACTACCAAATTTTCATCATATTAATTAGAACTTTGATTCAAATTATCTTCAGTTTGATTTTTTTTTAATCAAATTTATAATGTTGAGACACTGTCTCATTGTCTGTGATACATTTTTTTTACACTAATATTTCCTATTATTTTAACCCAGTTTATGGGTTTAATTAAGTGCTCTTCAATGTAATTATTAGGCCAGTGACCTAGACCTATGTACCATTGATATACTAGGCCAATTTTTATTTGTACAAAAAAAAGGAAGAAGTTGGTTTTGTGGATCATCTTGATTAGGAATTCATGTTTCCAGATTTCTGACATTTTCTAAGGTTTTGACACTTAACAGGAATTATCTAATACTGTAATGGTGACTGGAGGCATCCTGATTGTTATTCATGTTACTGCTATTGTGCACCTGGTGGTTGGTTCTATTCTGATTTCAAATCCAGGAGTCCCAGCATCCTGCTTCTGCTCCTTAAACTGAGCTGCTGTATCCACATCTGCTATTCTTCTTGTACCCTCTGCCTGACAAAGATTTGGTAACCCTTCTTCTCTCATTCACTGCTTGGATTACACAGTTGTTTTATGTTGAATCTTGAGCTTCCTTCTTGCATGAGCCTCTACCATTTGAGTCTCTCTTTTCAGCTTGGAGATCTCTTCCTCCTTTTATCTCTCTTTCTCCATCTCCTTGTCTTTGTCTCATACTTACTAAACTTTGCTATCTATCCTTGTTTCACCTCCTTGCACTAAATTTTCTTTTTCCATTGTGTCTCATTTAACTTGGTTTCTTTGTTTTTTGGATGTACTTTGTCAGTATGCACCTCCTTCAGTCTTCTCTCAAGGATATCTGTGTTGCACACATTCTTTTTGGTCCTCTCTGAGGACTGGCTGTTGTGAGTCATGGAGGCGATTTGTTTCTCGAGCTGCCCCTCAGCTCCATTCCGGTGGGAACTCGGCTCTCTCACTTTGTACACCTTAGCTACAGACTACTCAGGTACTTTCTCAGAGTTTTTTTTCCTTTGTCTTTCCACTTCACACCTAACATGAGTAAAATGGCATGGAACAACCCCCCCCCCCTTGTTGTTCCCATGAAGTCAGGAGATTAGCTTCCTGTAATAGATCTGTTCCACTTAAACCAATGTAGGTCTTTCCTCAGTTCTTACTGGACAATGTTCTCACTCTGCGATGAGTACCATCCTGGGATGTGAATGTTCCAGACCAAGATCTGAAATACTTTCTCCCTATTCTGATTTGTCTGCTTACCTTTTTCTTCCTACAGTTTGTCTACAATGGTTGAATGTTTGATTCACAGCTCTTTCCTCTGTGTTGTCTATGACACCATATGTTTTTCATTGGTCCTCATGAAGTTTGTGTTTGGAAGTTACATTCCTGAAGCCTACTGTTCCACTACTCTATGGACATTTTACTTCTTACATGTTCACTCTAACGTGGCTTAAACTGTTCCAACCTCTCTTTGTGTTCAGGAGTCATTTTTTTTTTGTATTGGTTGGTTTGGTGCTCTAATTCAACCTTGACCTGCACTGTGTATTTCATCCACTTGGGGCTTTTCTCAATTTGTATATGGGGCAGGCTCAGTTTACTCATTTATGTTTTATAAGACATGGAGCTTCTGATACTAAGGCTGTCATGTCTCCATAATTTCTTGAAAGGGAGGATTTGTCTTTTTTGTGGGACTCTTTCTTCTCTTGAGTTGTTGTTCCTCTTGAATGCACCATGCATATCCCCATCTGTGGATTTTGGTCAAACAGTGCAAATATATTCAAGGATCCACTGTCTTTTGTTTTTTTTTTAGCTCTCATGGTTGTTGTGGCTTAGTCAATCCCACATAACCCTAGACATTCCTTTCCCCCACCTCACCTGGACTTACATCTGTTTGGAGCTCCTGGAGCTCAATGTTAAATTTGATGGCTTTAACACTCACATGTCTGGGTTTCCATACCTGTGATGAGTGCAACACAGGTGGCACATTGTGTAGCTTTGTGTTTGATGACAACCAAACCTACAGCCAAAACCTGTCAACCAGTGCCTCTGTTCAGATGAGGTGCAGTTGTGGATGCCTTATCCATTTGTGTAGTCTATCACCGGAAGAGGGATTTCTCTATATCTCTGTCATCAAGATATTAGTTGCTCAGCATGCTTGCTATTATTGTCTGTCTGGTCTTCTTATCATGATCCATTCAGACACCTCACATGTCTTTTGTTCATCCACATTCATTTGTCAGTCTGTTGGGTCTTGCTTTGGTCCTGATAGTGATTCAACTGTCTTGCCTAGACTGTATCATTCCCACAGAATGTTTTTCGATCTTCTGGTGTTTTCATTGGATTTGTTTCCACTGTGGGGTTTCTATCATCAATGCCTTTCAAACTTCCTCCAACACCTAGCTTCCACTCTTTTAGTCTAATCTCCAATCACAGATTTTATGGCTTTAGTAAAAAAAACTGTATGCTTCAGATCATTCCTTTGTCGTGTTTAAGCTGTTTGTTTTTATCTCACATATACTGCATCTTTTCAGGGCAATTATGAAAGTCCTCCAGTGGTTCAGCAGTAAGTTAGTGGACTTACAATGCTAAAATCTGGGGGTCATTTCCACATACTGGACAGCAAGCAGGTAGCCTATTGTGTAGTTTTGCACTGAAAAAAGGAATGTCTGTTGTCCCTCAAGAGAATTATAGATAAACATTGATAGAATTCTTTAAACCTCTCACCACTGGCTTGGTCAGTGTGACCAACTTTTTAACCTCAAAGTGACCAGTAGAGTTTTCATACTATAACTTTTAACATGTTTTGTGTATCGTCAAGACATTTGGCAAGCTTTCAGTAAATAGTACAAGTCTTTTGTACACAAAAAATCAAATTTTAAAAAATATTTTTGAATATATGGATTCAGAGTGTTGATTGCTGTGAGTGCAAAGTGATTTTCAATACTGCAGTTGTTTATCCTAAATAGCTTAAAGCTCATAACGGTATACATCTGTTTATACTTAATTTTATTGTTTTGTTGCCCTTTGACTCGTGTCTAACTAATAATCCCACCATACAAATTTAAATTACTCAGCGAATGTGTAGCTCATGTTACCATATTGAATGATGTAATACACAACCAACACACATGCATATCTTTTGAATAATTTTTCTTATTATTTTTCATCATCTAGTCTAACTGCATCTAACTAGAAATATGTTTATAATTTCTACATTTTAGTTACTTTTTTAAATAACAAATATGCATGAAAACCAAGAAATATATCACTTACCTATGACATCTTGTTTTTCCGCTGTTGGTTGTTGATGAAATTTAAGCCTACTTTTTCTATACTAATGGTACTAGTACACTAAATATTTTTTATTTACTCAAATAATACACCTAAAAATACAGAATAATAACATGCACAAAACAAACAATGTCCCCTAAGGATCATAATTTACCTGGCTTTCTACTTATGGTATAAGAGCCTTTAAATCTTACCTTAAGATTGTCAATATGACCACCACGAGAGAAACTTTCCAACTGAAAACAAAGTAAACAGTATTCTGTACTGAAAACAACATAATATGGTAATTAAAACTTTGGCTTTCTACTGATTAAAATAATATAGTATTAAACATTGGAGAGAACTATTGACAATTTATGAAAGAGGGGATGTGACAGGTGGGCATAGCAAGTGGGTCTGATTTTCTAGTTTCACTTGTAAACATAAGACTGAAGGTTATAAAAATTATGCTTTGCCTTAGTAATGTCTACTTTGAATTCCATACAGGTGGTAAACAAGTTAGAGAAGAGGAAATCAAAGTGAACAAATGTCACAATTCTCATACTAGGGGAGTTTGAGGATATTTTAAAATATTTTCTCATAAAGTTAAGAACTTAAAGCTTACATAATATTAACATTTGATTTACTAACTACATTTTGATGCCAAGTTTATCTGTATACGATGTTGTAAAGTGAATTTTGAATGTGACTAAAAAGTTGTGACATGCACACTTTGACCTACCCAAAATGAGAGGGTTAATGTCTTTTTCCTGCTGAGGGATTCATCTTCTTCTAGCAACTTATCTCTTTCTACTTTGACCAGTTGGGTTAGTCACTCACCTGGCAAGTTTATTTTTCTATGCGTGATGACACTTTTCTTATTTTTCATCGTATGACTTCTCTTGCCTCTAGTATACCATCTTTCACAGGTATTTTTTTTTACTGAAACTTAAAAGTAATCCAGCATATGCTCCTTCAGTTATTACTAGCATAAAAGAGAGAGGTATTTTGTCAAATAAAAAATTGCTCAACAGCTGATGGACCATTCTTTAAACTTTTATAAAGGGGTATAATATGGCTTTTCTGCAGAAGAAAAAGTGTGCTCAGATAATGGCATGCAGACACGATGTGTTTAGATCCTTTGCTGTCTTGGCCAGTAGATGATGTATCACATTCTGCCCAGTAAACTAGTCTGACAATATTGGCACACTCTAGTAATGGAACACAGCAGTGTTGCTTCACACACACACACACACATTGGTAGTACAGACTGTACAGTGAACACTGTACATTGGTGAACACTACACCTGGTAAAATAGTCCGACAATGTTGTAACACACTAGTAATGAAACAAGGCGACATTGTTTTGAAAATATTGGTAGTAATTGATAAACATTACACCTGGAAAAGTATTCGACGATACTGAAATGCTCTAGTAACAAAACAAGGCAATGTTGTTTAATGTAAGGGTAATAATTGGTAAACCCTCTAATAATGAAATGATGCAGAGTGATGCAACATATAATGGGGACCCAGAGTATTAGTAAGATATAATTAGGTTACAAAATACAAAAATTGTTAAGTGCTGTCAGAACCAAGTTACAAAATTAAGATATCTTGTTAATTTATATTGATATTACTGTGCCAATTTTTAAGACCATTGGAAGCTTGAAAATAAGCTGTTTATATTATATTGAGTAAGATGATATGGTTTTTGAAAACTGCCTCGAAAGTTAAGGATAGAAAGGTGTGGCTTCTGTCGTGAATTGAGAAAATGTATTTATATTTCAGTAAAGAGAGAAATTATGAAGTTCATACTGTAAGTTGGACCTAGTAATTGTTTACAGATTGTGTCTAAAATAAGGCAGACAGTGCACGTATCAGGGTTTTGGAGTTATACTAACTAAAAGATATTGTACGTTACGTGACAACAGGAGTGAAGACTGAAAATTTTTTAAGTATCTCCTTTTTAAATCAATAAATTAATATTCAATTTGAACTATAAACTGTTATAAGATGTTTATTAAATGTTGAAAGTAACTGTAAAATGTTGTGACATGCAGAAGAACCAAGTCTTCACTGTAGGTTTAAACAGTCGTATCAGTGTGGGATCTTATGCAGATGTGATGATTCCTGTTTGGTCTGAGCACCACTTCAGTGTTCTCCCTTATACAAAATCCCCCCCCCTCTTTTTCTATTAGTAGAATAAGGGAGAACCCTTGTTTCTGGTTGGTATCTCACAGAAGTATTTCTCCATTATGGTATGGCCACAACACACTTTTGCTTAGCTGACCACCTGAGAGAAAATGGCCAGTTGAGCAATCTTACATTTCACCCTATGTGACACTTTAGCACCACAGAGAAGGTTTTTTATTTTACAATATATTTTGCTCTACCACCTCTGTTGGGCAAAGAGTATTCCCTGCATGAGATGGTTGCAGTCTCCCACCAAGTAATATTCACTAGGCTAACCCTCCAAATAGGTGACATGCTCTGTGCATTCTCTCTTTCACTATGTTTTCAAAAAGGAACTCATCTTTGTAATTTGTTTGTTCCAGCCCATCCACCATCTTATTAATGTGTGATTTTTGCTCTTTGTCATGTACAGAGTTAAGTAAACATTTGTGAAGTTAATGTTTTTCCTTACCTGAAAATGTGTTTCAGATAAATAGTCACCTTCCTGCACAATCTCCCTCTTCCATTGTATTTCTTTTGCCTTGTCAGATGTTAGTACTCTTAGGGATTACTGTACACTTCCCTTGGAGGAGGGCTATAGTCAAATGGTTATTACATTATAGGCTGGTGCTGTACAAGTTAATATGTACAGGGGTGGGAGCTTCATTCAAGGCTTGTGGCCTGTGCTAAAATCTTCATAGCATTGGCACGAGGAAATTGCTCTTTATTTGTGCAATTAACATTTATTTTAGAGGTTTTTTTATCACGTGACTGATAACTTAAGCATCTGAGTAATACATAAATTTTCTAGACATATGTTTATTCATGACACTAAAATATGCATGTGTATTTACCATTTGTTTGTGGGACCTCAAATCTTTTAAATGAGATACCTTAAACGAAACTATTGTGCAACATTAGCTGTGAATATTTAATACTACATGTATCCATAGTTTCAAATTAAATGAAGGTACTACATACCATGCTTCACAGGTACTTTTTTTACTGAAACTTAAAAGTAATCCAGCATATGCTCCTTCAGTTATTACTAGCATAAAAAGGAGGGGTATTTTGTCAAATAAAAAATTGCTCAACAGCTTTAATTCTAACTTTGCATGAAAAGTTATGTAAGCTGAAATACATTTAAAATTTTAATCTTTGGTTATCACTCTTAGTTACCACATTATCACTAAACTATTTTCAAGTTCTAATATTAGAAATGTTATTTTTCTTTTCTTAATATTTTATCCTAGGATCATGTAACAGCATCAGAACCTGATGTACATCTCGTAATGGGGCACAAGTTTATGCAGAGAAAGATGGAAGGTACACATGAATATTGTGACAAGTGTTGCAATATCATTTTGGGTGTCATGCATAACTGGTATTACTGTAAAAGTAGGTATATTGATATACTTTTGTAGACTTTCATGAGACAGCTAGTGTAAACTTGTTTCGTTAATCATATAATTAGGATTTGTTTTTTAGCTACTAATATTTATTTAATGACATAGCCTAACCTAGAAACTGTGTAGAATTCAGATCAATAAACTATATTCCAATGTGAATTATACTTAAGTTTTTTTATCTACTTTTATGTGGCTCGTCTAAGAACAAAGGTGTTTGTTTATTCTAGAGCAGCAATGCCACTTTAAATTTAATTTGGGATGGGGTTGGGTTAAGATGTGAGATTTTCTAAAGTGAAAATTCAATAATGTGTCACCTGGTATTAAATTGTACTGTAGCTTTACAACATGCAGTAAAATAGAAAAACTAAGACTTTATAGTTGGGATTTTCTATCCATCTTCTAGGTGGAGGTAGTTGCCCCACATGCCCTCCCACACACACAGTTGGCATCCCTTTCTAAACTACTTACTTGGGAAATTTAAAATTTTGTGACATAAATTGTTATGAAAAGTGTCCATATGGATTAATTTTCATATCTATTCACTAAATTTTCCAGTCTAAAAGTACAATAAAAATATAGCACATTAATCATTAAAATGATGTTTTTAGGGTCTCTAATTACATGGATTTTTAAATAAATAATTCTGGGTTAACTTAGTGAGTGTGTGTTTGCATACAGAAATTCTCCACCTGTACAGATGTGACTTGAAAGGTTTCATTTATTCATCCAGAGGATTCCAGAAGCAAGTTGCTGGTGTTAAAGAAATAGCATATAACTGCTCTCAGTTTGGTTAATCATTATAAGTTTTGACAGGAGTGTACTTGTTTCAACTCCTTACTCATATTTTTGAATTATTTTACCTATATATATATATGTGTGTGTTTTTAATGTTTTGCAGTTTTCTTAAGCTGTTTTCATTTAATCTGTATATTACATGTCAAGTGTATTATGTTTAAAAAGTTATCATATTACACTTGTAAAATGAAAATCACTTACATGATTATTCATGCTTAAATCTTTGTTTTAAAATACAAAACTTCAGTACATTTACCTAATTAGTTTAAAAAACATTATACATTTTAACCAATTTGATCTATTATTGTTGTTGTTTCCAGACTGCAGTTTTAAATGTCACAACAAGTGTGTTAACTTCCTAACCAGGATTTGTGCTTATGTAAAGGTAATTTTCTGTCATTTTTTGCTTACTTTGTTATTATAATAGAAGTACTTAACTAGGTAAAGTAGGAATATTAAGCAAACTGCATCCACATAAGTATTTAATTAGTATAAATATTAATGTTGCTCGCAATTTTTACCTATTTGTAATAGAACATTTTCTTTTACTGTAATAAGTCCGATACAAAGTATAAAGTGTTTTTTATTTCCTTGACTGTATTCAATTACAAATTAGACAATAAACTTCTAAATAAAACAAGAAATAATAAAATAAAAAATGAATTATTTTAACTTGAAATCAGTATAACTTGTTTTTCTTGTGATTACTTGATTGTGATGCTGTCAATTCAGTACTTAGACTGTAATGTAAAGGAATATGAAATGGTTGTGTAGTTTGAATCAGTGATACACACAGTTTTCTATATAGTGTGTTTACTCCATGTGTGAAACAACTACTAAGAGTTACGTTATTAAAATTATTTTTATTCATTTATTTATTTTAATTTTTATGAGTCTAATAGAAAATATTTCTACATGAAAGGCAGTTTTTGAAAAAAAATAAAGTAAAATGTTTTATCAGAATAGAAGCTTTAAAAAATAGCTACTGACACAAATATATATATATAATGAATTAAAATCTTTTTAACTTACATTGGCATGATTAAAACACAATCAAGCTATATCAAACTGTTGGCAAGTCACATACATTGTCAAAACCTCTCCTAAAGAATTGTCTGTTAAAACTGCAACAGCTATATTAGTGTATTGTGTTAACATAGGAGTTTATAGCTTAAGTAACTACTTTCTGTAACTATTTATGTCTTAAGTGACAAGAAAAGTTTAATAAACTAACCATTTGTGTTGGTATAGTAAAAAAAAATTCAAACAAATGTTCTTTGTTTTGTTGATATAAAAAGTTTGTTTGCCAATACATTTTTGTTTTGTAATTCACAAAACTAAAATCATTTCATACACTTTTGTTTTTGTAAAACTTCATTAATTTGATTAGAATACATTCATGAGAAAATTTGAAGAAAAAGTGATGTCAATAACTTCTTTATTATATAAATTCTTCATTTATAAGTAAGTTAATTTATTGAAGGAAGATCAAAGCATGACAAATTTTATTTTACTTTTTATTGTGCCATCCTGTTTTTGTACATCTGGTTGGGTCACTGTTTTATGCAAGTGTTTTTAGCAGTTTATAATATCTTTATGTATTAAGTTAAATATTCATTTACATAAGTTGAAATTTTGTTTTCTAATTATTGTTTGCTAATATTTTAAGATTGAGATTTTACTTGATATGATTTTTACAAAAGAAAGATAAGAATAATATTTTTATAAAAGAAAAAAATAGACAAAAGGATTTACAATTTTGTTGTTTTTAATCTTTTGTGATTTCTGACACTTCTTAATTCTATGTATATAGGAGGTTCAAAGTGCATAGGTCATGATTGTTTTACAGAGTTACATTCAAAATTTAATTAAACAACTTTGTTATCAAAGTATTCAATAAGCTTGGCATCAAAACATAGTTTATAATTCAAATTTTTATATTATCAAAGTTTTAATTAATTTCTTGGTTTCAAAAGGAAATATTTAAATAGCTTCTTAATCTTCACTTCTCTGTGTCATTTGATGCACCTGTGCTCTAAATTGCGCATTTTAAATTTTCTTTCTTCCCTTATATAATTTTCTGAGTTTCCAACTAATTAGAAACACATACTATTGTTACTGAAAAGAAGAGCTGGGTGGCTTAATTGGTATAATCAATCACCTATGAGTAGTGCTTGCAATGATTATTGTCATTTAAACTAATTATTTAATCAAAATTATCATTAGATTGATTAATGTCATGAAAATAATCAACTAATCAAAATTAGTGTTTTTGATTTTTTCAACAGTTGATTAATCACACATTTTTATTTTTCAGAAATTAATTGTTATTTAATTGTAAGTAGACATACATCTAGAGGGAGCTGATCCTCATAATTTATTTTATTTTCTAAAGAAAAAAAAGCTATAGGGCTTTACCTTAACATATAGTGTAAAAAAATAAACATTTTTTTTTTGGCAAATGTAATGTGATTGGAATAATATTAGCTTACACTCTTCTAATTCTTAAATCCTTAGGGAACTAGATAAAGTATGTAGTGTCAAAAAAATATACTGAAGGCTTATAAAGCCAAAATCTTGGTTTCAATACCCTGGTGGGTACAGCATTGTGCTCTGCACTTAACAATAATTAAACAAACTTGTGACAAGTATAATTAATTATGATAATGCTTCATCAACTTGGAAAAGACTATTCACACCACGAAAATTGTAATGACATTCAATATATTATGTAGTATGATCAATACTGTTAATGAAATTAACAATATGGTATATCTTACTTAAATAACCCAACTAGTGGCTACCTCATGCTGATATTTAGTCAATATTAACAATTCATTTGCCAAACAGGAAATGTCTAGATTATCTTTAAAAACATTTGTGGCAGAATATTTTTTAGAAAAAAGGTTTTCTACAAAATATACAATTGCAACCTTCAGAAGATGTCTATAATATGAAACCAAATAGAAAACCAAAACAAGGTGAATGAAAATAGGAAGCTTAATATCACATTGGAATGGTGTAGTTGTTGAAAAAGTTACAAAGCTTGTACAACCTTTTTTTTTTTAGGGTCTAGAGGTCATTGTAAATTAATAAAATTAAAAGGGGCTGCTTTGATAAATAACCATAATTGTCAATTACAGTCTGCAGTCATTATAGTAAAAAATGATATTATTGATTTTATTTTGTATTTTTCCATCTTATGTTTGATGTTTTTGCTACACTCAAAGCTAGAGTAGAGAAAATAAGTGATAAATGTAAAGTTTCACTGAAAACAACTTGTTACTCATTTAGAAGGTTTTAGAGTTCATGCAAATGAAATTGAGAACTGTAAGGTGCAAGTATTTTTGTTCTAGCATGAAAATCACTTTTCACTCAGACTGACTCATTAAATACTTCATAAATGGACATACAAATCTTTAGTAAAAATACCTTATTAAAAAATCTGATTTCTTTATGTACAACGGACTTGTAATGTTTACTAAAAGCTTGTCAAATTTCATGAATATACGCTTAGTACATTCAGAGTTATATTATGTATAGCTTCATGGTTATGCAGTGGTTACAAGGTCATTCAAAATGAGTGAGCTGTCATACAGAGAGCTAATGGCAATCTACATAACTAGCTCTTTGGTTTTATCACTTACAGTTATCCCTTGCCATTCCCAGGAGATAGTTTCTAGAAATTGCCACAAATGATAAAAATGGAAATACCATTAGTAATAAAGGCAGTGGTAGCAGAGGTTACACAAGAAATGTCTGCACAGAAACACCATGGTTGCACAAAGACTGAGAACACGTGGGATGCTGTGGAGCGAGAACGTGGGATGCACAGTGTAACACAATGCAAACCTCGCACTAGTTTTGGGGGTAGACTGCAGCTGTAATATAGTTCCTTATATGCAGAAAGAGACAGTCTTGCATGTGGTCTGATATTTTTGGTGTTTTTTTTATCCTGTTGGCTCTGAGGCTGAGTTTGTGGGAGATCAAGGGTGGACTAGTGAGAATTTAGACTATTTTCCCAGCACCTTCCTTTGCTCTGACAGCTGCTCATGAACCTCGGATGGACATTCTGCCTCCTGCACCTCTTTTTACAACTATTACACCATGTTTGTAATGTTTGAGTATTTCTCCTGTGGCTTATGAATCTTCACCTTCTTTATTGGGAGAAACTAATTCATCTGATTACCTGCTCTTTCACCTTTGCCAGCTATTGCTGTGCATACAAGGAGATTGGCAGATCAATGAGGCAGGGTGCTGCCATACCTTGTCCTCCTCCTTTAGCATGCCTTGGCTTACCATCACCTGAAGAACCCTTATTCAGACTCTCGGATGTTAGACCCTTTTCTTCCTGTTTGGGGCTCTAGACAAGATGCCACTGTTCATCTTAATCAATCTCAGTTTCCAGAATTTGTTTGTCACTTAGAATAGTTTTGCATTTTTTATCATCTTTGCAACTGTTGTCTGAGACCTATCGTAGATCCCCTGCTCAAATTTTGGAGGATCTCAGTCATTTAAAGACTTCCACTTTGGTCAGGTTATTGGCTTCTGCTCTCTCCTTGGTATCTTGGCTGGTTTGTTGCTGGCAGTCTCAGACAGTCTATATTTGTGGGAATTCCAGTCTTCATGGAATCTCGAGTAGATATGACCCATCTACATTCTTCACTTTCTACACTAAATTCTCGACTTGTCCCAAAGTTCTTCTCCAGGATGTATTACTGCATCTTCTGCTAAAGTTTCCAGACCTCCTGGTTTGTTGCACGATCCATTGGAACACTAGGGTGATTTTGGCCTAACCAGCGGGGATCTCCCACCAGAGTAGAGGGCAGATTTTGGCATTGATGACTACCTTTCGGGGTCTTGTCTCAAAGGGTTTGTGTCAGTATGGAACACATTCATCATAGATCAGTGAGTCATTTCAAGTTCTCAGGAGATTGATCATTCAGTTCACATCTCTTTCTTCTCTGTCTTTCATACCGGTTGGCTTTCCACTCCCCAAGGACCCTCTTACATACAACCATCAAGCACAAGCCATCCAGAATCTTCTGCATAAAGAGGCCAAAGAGTGCTCTCTCTCAGGGGTTTTTATTCTTGGCTGTTGGTAGTACCGAAAAAAAATGGGGCACATTGAAGTAGGTGGAGAGAGTCACAAGATTACAATTGTTAATGGTGATATAGTGAGATATAAAGACTGGAGCAAGTGAGGTAGAATTTAGAATTCATACCAATGCTTAGATGGGCAAAGAATAGAACCTTTCATTGGGATAAAACTAAAGAGTGGGAGGAGATAAGCATTATCGGAAATAAATGTTTGGTATAAGAAAATGTAAACTTTTCAAAATATTTAAGTTCCTTGTTTTAAATTATAATCTTTTTGCTGTCGTTTAATCACATTATCATGAAAAATTATAAAACTCATCATAATCATAAAAGCCAAGTGTTGGTCAAGCTAGATTTCTCTGAATTTTGTGTGTTACACGAGTCCATTTCCACTCTTTCTTCTACAAAACTTCCTCTTTTGATTGCCCGTTCTCATTTTAGTTGGATTTAATTGCTAACATAGTCATAAACAGTTATAGACATGGAAGTACATTTGCATCATATCAATGCCTGTGAAAAATAAGTAAAAAATTAGTGCAAATCTATGCTTGGGAATTAATACAAAAAAGCCTTTGTTAAAACAGAATAAAGATACCAATTATCTGTAGGGAAGAGGACAATGTGTAACTGTGTGACATCCCAACACAACCTGAACATGCATCTGTGGTTAAAGGACACCCATCGTGCAGCATAGAACAACGGACGATAACTGAAGTTTAACATGTTTTCTTCACTTGGATTAGTTTCCTCTGAACTCAAGTTAGGTTTCTTAGTTGTTGTGATGGCATTTTGGAGATACTATATACAAAATGTTAATAACAAATTTGCAGATTTAACATATTACAACATAAAATGTAAAAGGAAAAATTGGACATCAGATAGAACTTGGGTATTTGACAGGGAAGCTCTGTGAAATTAGGACTACAGCAGAGGATTACTATTGCAGAATTGGTATTTTTTCAGTTTAGCACTTGCAAATAAAAACTAAGCTGGTTTTCTGTTCTTCTAGAGATGAAAGTCACAAAGAAGGTAAATTAAGTTTTAGGACAATTTTATATGACATTTTTATTCACTGATTGTTGCTACCAAAGTAGAACATGACAAAATAATTTTAGTTTGAATGTTAAAAGCCTAGCACATAATAAACATATATGATCAATGTAATTAATTTTGTATGTTATCAATACTTATAAACTTCAACTTGAAGAAGTAAATATTTTTGGTTATTGATGTTTTGACAATGGTACAGTAAAATGACAGATTTTCCAGAAAGTTGTTTTGATCATTGGAAACAATTGGAACATTCATTATTATGATAAAATACATAACCCAATTTCAAGTGTAGGATGAAACTAGCTAATGAATGAAATGACATTACACTTTTATTATATAATATATTTAAAACTATACCATAAAACAAATAAAATTTATTTCTTAGTAATGCTTATAAAAATTAAGCTTTAAAGATTGCTAAAGTATTTTGTTTCAAAATTTCCATTATTAATTGTTTTATATGTTTGCTCAAAATAAAGACTCTCCCCACAGTAAACATTTTGTTGCCACCTGAACATGCACACACTTTTGATCAAATAAAGTATATGCTACCTTTGCTAGTATTTCCATACCACTAGACCTCTTCAGATGAAGCCTCGTTTTTTATTGTTTTCAAGATCTAGTGCGTTTGCCAAAATCGTTTTGATTTTCTGAAACTTTTATGTGTATAACGTATGCACATACTTTTTTTTTCAGGTTGTAGAAAACCCTAGCTACATTTTGGATATTTGTCCAGAAACAAGTCTTGCTACCCAATGTTACAAATGTGCAGAGTGTAAGCGCAGAATTTTTAACAGTAAGTGTAGATCGTACTTTTGCTGTGTTTATGTTTTGAAGTTCTATTTAAAATTAATTTAACTGTATAGGTAGTTTCAAGACTACTTGTCCCAAAAATGTATTGCAGTAAGTGATAAAGCTTTGTAATATACACGTACATGTACTCTATAGACTTTGATGTTTAGATATCAGCGATGGTAAGAAATTATTGTGATTGTTACATGTGTTACTAATGTTATATATTTCCCCTGGTGAGACAACAGTAAGTTTATGAACTCACAATGCTAAAATCTGGGGTATGATTCCCTGTGGTGGAAACAGCAGATGGCTCAATGTGAGTTTGCTCTAAATCAAGCTAACTAACTAATGATATATAATTGATAGTAGTAACACACAGGATTGAAAGGTTTGGTCAAGGTAAAGGTAGAAGACCTGAAGTAGATACGTTCACCTGTCAAAAGAATTATCAAGTTTTATTATTATTATTATAGAAAGAGAGATATTTGAACATACTGGTATATGGGAAAACATCTGCAAAAAAATGAACAAAATTGGTGAAAACTGACTTTGTGTTTTCTAACAACATCCTTTTGACTGACATTAAATCAAATTAACTGCCGATTTTTTTTTGGGGGGGGAGCAGTGACTTGTGGGAGATAAAAGTGTTGTTCTTGCATGTCTGATTTTAGCCACAATGAACAAAATAAGAGGAATGTGGAAAAACAAACATCAGTTAACTTGATTTTTATAATAATTTTAAGCCTATTGGTTTCTAATAGTTTGTTTGCATTTAGCTTTTAGCATTTATACAATATCTGTAGAGGAAAGAGTAATTTATTATCTGTCGACTTATAATATTGTTATTTTTTTTTGGCATAACTATGGGTATCACATTATTGCTTAATTATTTTGTTTTTTTTAATTGTACATTGTTTTATTAACAGAGGAAGGATACCATCGTCCAAGAAAATGTGATTACAGTGGTTTTTACTACTGTTCGTATTGCCACTGGAACAGCCAAATGGTTATTCCTTCTAGGATTATTCATAACTGGGACTTTGAGCCTCGCACGGTATAACAATTAAACCAATATGATTCCTAGAATACTGTTTACCTTAAGATGAGACAAAGTTAAAGTGCAGTTTTCCATGTAAAACCTTTTGATATAAATGATTATTGAAGCATCTAAAGTATGATATTATCTTTACATTCTTCATTAAAAATACAGATTATTAATAACAACTTTTTTACTTTTGATTTGATTTGTTTTTAAAGTGACAGTAGCTCATTATATCAGATAAAGTGTATTTTGCATTGGTGGTCCAGCAACCAATCTCACCCAGCTCCCCACCCTGCTGTTTCTAAAAGTTCTAAACACACCAGTATTATGAAAATAACTGTCAATTAAAGATATTTGTTATAGAATTTCAAGTAACTGATTATTTGTAACAATTATAATAAAACATTGTTAGATAAAACTGATTCAAATAAATAATAATGTTTTAAAAATGGGGCTTGTATGAACTAGTTTAAATGGTTGCACAGGCCAAGCAAGTTAAAATATATGAAAAAAACAGCTTCATAGACTAATTTCACTGTTGTATCAATTGACTTTTAAAACTTAGTTTTTAATTATATATGGAAAGCAAAATGCGCATATCGAGGAATTTGAAAAAAGGGGGTATGTGTTAACATTCATATTTGCATATAATTTCTGTTTTCTTTTATAATATCTAAACTTTATTATTTCATTTACATTGGTTAAATGAGTGTTATAGCATGAGCACTTTAAGATGTGAGATATGAGATCCTGAATTACTAGCTGCAGGTAGATACAGACAGAATTCACCTGAAGAAACACAATAAAGATGAATTAGCAAGTTTATTCAGAAAATAATTACAACTTTCAGCTTCAGTACAGACAGAATTTACCTTAAAATAATGCAATAAAGATAATCAGCAAGTTTATTCAGGAAATAATTACAATTTACAGAGTTAGTTACTGAGATGTTACAATGAGTTCAAACTTGTTAATAGACAATCTCGTCTAATGAACACACGGAAAAACTACCAGGGTCATAGGTAAACCCCAACTTGGAAACAGAACCTCTCAAACCTAAAGTGCACATGAACTGAATCATAGTTCATGATGTCAGTGTGCACACTGAAAATAGCACTTTATTGACATCACTCAGCTACCATGAATCGCAACTACATTGAAGCTGGAATTTTAGAAACCGTGAATAGGATTTTGAGTGAGCTAGAGGTAAGTTGAAGCTAAATAACATAAAACTACTGAAATTTGCATAGCAAAATTAGGAATTGCAGGTAAAAACTGGGGAAAAATATAAATACAAGCTAAAGGGGGACCATGGCCACATGCCCCTCCTGGCTATGCAAGTAATGTATGTATATATATGAGAATATAATTCATGTTAATGCTTTGAGGTTCCTCCCCCTTTTTCATTTAAAATCCATTATTTACGTAGGAATATGTTTGTTGGTAAGATATGTATCACGTGGTACTACATGTGGGTTTATAGCTTTAGCTGAATTTTGAAAACCATGGTGCTTGCCTTTAAGAGTAACACAAATGAATTATCAAAATATTTTATTATATACAGTTAACCTTATTTAGACTGTAAAATAACACCAAATTAAGTAAGAGAAATGCTATTTTGATACCTTTAAGGTGATTCAAAATTACAATAAAGACTTATTAGACTTGTACCAGCATATCATAATAAAAACTGCCTCCAACAAAGTTATCTAAGCATGACAACAGAATAAGCTTGAGCATATAAATTTAGAATAGTTATAAATTTTTCAGATCTAAATTACAATATAGCTGAAGGCTGAAACCAAAAAAGTGGCCAAGAGTCCAAGTCAGTAACAAAATAGTTTATGGCCTATCTTTGTTTCTGACTGGGTGTATAGCTATATGAATCACTATTGATTTTTTATAACTGTTGCAGGTCTGTCGAGCATCACTTCAGTTTTTACGCATTATGATGAAGAAGCCAGTTTTGCAGTTGGAACAGTTAAACCCCATGCTGTTTTCTTTCGTTGAGGAGCTGAATGAAGTTAAGGTAAGTATAAACTTGGACAAAAATCTGTTTTTACTTTTTTTAAAAAGATAGTTTTTGGTAAATTATACTGATGAGCTTTGAATATAATCTCATTGTTTAAAAATGTTCTAAATGATAAAGATTCAGAACAACCAAAATAGGTAATGTATTTTCATTTATATATATGTATGTATGGAATGACATTTTTCTTTCGTGAATGCTCAATTATCAGTTGTTTATCAGGTATTTGCTGATTTTGAAGATTTATGATAACATACAATAAAAACTAGAATCTACTATTTGGAACTCATTAATATATAAGTTACATTTTCTTATTAATGTCTACTTGTACAAAATATTAGTAACAATTTTAAACTTTTGAAGAAGCAACATTTTGTTTGATAACTGTTACTTGAAACAAAACTTATTATTGAGAGAATAATGTGATGTGTAAAAAAGTCACTAAATTTGCACTAATACTAATGTTTTTTTAGAAACTAAGAGAAGAAATTCTTCTGATGAAACAATACCTTGCAAGTTGTCATGTGGCACAAGAAGAGCAACTACTACTGGAACCCAAAGAAAGGCAACACCTTGTTGAGAATGCTGATATGTATTCTCTTAGAGATCTGATTGACCTCAAGACTGGGGTTTTAAAAAAATTCCTTAGGAAAATTTACTCCATGTTTTCTGTACACATAACAAAAGAATGTGAGGTAGAGAAGAATTTTTACTTACTATTTACTGTTGTGTATATTTGTGTCATCATAAATATATTAAATAGTTTTAATGTTGAAAAAATGAATAAATAGGTACTAACGTATTTGTTGTAATGCAATTAGCATACATGCCAACTATTCTGAATCTGTCAGAATCATTCCAATTTGTTTCTTTCTTCCTGATTTATGATTTTCTTGATAAATTATGAGTTTTTTTTAGTCATTCATTTCCCATATTTTGGGAGACATTCTTTATTGAAACTTTGTATAATTTTAAAGAAAGATTAGAAGCATTATTTTTCTGTTTACTTGTAAATTGAACTTGTGAAATAGTGGGTGCAGCCATTTTTTTCAAGAATTGTAGATGCTTAGATTAAATGTAAACACCTGAAGTTATTGTGAATTTATGCTATAAATGAGATGTTCTGGAGGTTTGGCACCACTGTTATCATGCTTTATATACAAATATTCTTTTTTAACTAAAATACACCATAATGCACTAAATTAATGTCAATTTTCAATAATTTTTTTTTGGGGGGGACATGCCTTCAGACCGTCCCTATTTGATTTTCACAGTATTACTGTTCACTGAAAAGTCGTTACCATTTATTGATTAACACTTTACCAATTAGAAAGTTGGCAGGTATGATAGCTCCCTGTGGATAGGCATTAAGTCTGAAGGCTTAAAAACTCAGTTTTGATACCCATAGTGGGTACAGGACAGATAGCCCATTGTGTAGCTTTGAGCTTAATAACAAACAATCCAGGTATGATTTATGCTCAGAATGGTTCTGGGATTTTGAATCAATGAAATATTTTTAAACTGAATGTATGTGGAACTAAAATGTTAAGACAAATTTAACCACGTTATATTTTATCATTAACACATAGCAACACATTTGTTTAGCACCCTAGAGAAAAGTTAGTGGAATGTTTTGGGCTTAGCGTTATGATTTTAACATAACATAATGTTTTGGTCAATCTCACTATTTGTTGGTAAAAGAGTAGCCCAAGAGTTGGTGGTGGGTGGTGATGATTAGCTGCCTTCCCTCTAGTCTTACACTGCTAAATTAGGGACGGCTACCACAGATAGTCTTCGTGTAGCCTTGGGCAAAATTCATAACATAACCATCCCAGGCACTTTTCTAGTAATCCTTCTCTGAACCCTTTCCAACAAGTCAATGTCTTTCATAAGATAAAGAGCCCAAGACTGAACACAGTACTTCAAATGTGACCTAACCAGTGACCAATACAATGCAGTTATAACCTTTTAAGACTTGTATTTAATATTTCTCTAGATACAACCTAAAAATCCTATTTTTTATCTTTTATACTCTTTGTGAGTCAACCTGGATTTTTATTTGCATCTACCCCTTTTTTTTTCTATAAGGAATATGTTTACCTTGAATACTTAAAAATTTCTAAATCTGATCAGTGTCTCTATATAATTCAGCTGCCCAATTCACAGCAGATAATTCTTATCACATCCCTTCAAAATTTGCATTTTTAAAGTTTGTAACCAAAATATCATTATTCCTTATCTCCAAATGCAGCAAAACATTGAACCTAACAGAGCAGTAATCACCTGCATCCAGATGTTTCTCCAATTTCTACCCTCTCATTCATTTCTATATTTGAAGTTAACAATATATCTAAAATAGCAAAACTTGCAACTACTAATTTTCACATTCCTTTAAGTTGTAGTTGTTCAAGGTACAGTGGTTCACAACATAATCCATGTAATGCTGTGTAGTTGTAATTTTTATAATTAATTGTAATGCATGCTTTACGAATATCTTAAGCATGGATTGCAAAGCACAAGTGGGTTAGCAGGCCTAATATTTTATCTATCATAACTTTAGTGCTGGATTAATGCAAGGCTGCCACCAACCTTGAAAATCTTTGAAAATTCAATTCCATTGATAGGCCTATAAAAATATCTTATTTCCTGGGCCCCAAGTAGGCTTAATCCAATGTTTATAATTCTTTTGTACATTGCTGTTGTACATTTTTATAACCAATAGAAATAGCAAATCCTAAACTACATAAAGCAGACAATTGTCTGTTTTGTTTTAGCAGTAAAAGCTGATATTATGCCATGACAACTTGATGTGAAAAATTTTTTAAACTATTTGAGATAATTATAAAACCAGGTAAGTTAAAGTATTTTGGGACATTATATTCTAGTGTCTAATATGTTTCTTATTTGTTTTGAAATGCATATTTGAAAGTTACATGAATTATTTTTGGACAACCAATATAGTTAGAAAAAATAGGCCTACAAAACCATGCACCCAAATGGAAAAGGTTAAATTAGTTTCATGTTTTTTTATGTTTTTTTTTACTTTTTTGTTTTATGTTTTTTAAAAAAGAGTAATTAAAATGTAAAAATTAGAAATTGGTAGGTTAAATGAAAAAAAAAAAGAGTGAAATGAAAAGATTTAAAATTTTCTCCTGGAGGAACACTCATGTGCTGGTGCCATGTTATGTAACTTGATATTTTGTTTACCCTAAGCTCTCACTGGATAATTTATTGTTTTGTTACACTAGTTAGACATGGTTCAAGGAGCAGTAAAATTGAATGAAAGTAAATGTGAAACTATTGGAAACCTTAGATTGTTTTAGGATAAATAATTGTAATTGTTTTCTACAATCTGTAGTAATTCTAGAAATGAATAATGTATTTTGATTTTATTTCATATTTTTCAACTTTTGCTTTGGATGATTTTGCTACAGTTAGTGTTAAGGTAGAAAAAAAGAGATAAAGTACAAAGTTTTACTGAAAAGAATTTTTTAATATTTATTTAGGAGGTCCTAGAGGTTATGCAAAAATGAAATATGAAACTAAAAGATGAATGATTTTTATTCATGAAATGAAAACCACCTTTTAATAGATGAACTCAATAAAGGCTTCATAAATTCACAGTTGAATCTATAACAAAAATAGATCTGTAATGTTTACTACAAACTTGCCAAATTTTGTCAAGATACACTTATTACATTCAGAATTATAGTATGTATAGTTTCACGATTATATGGTGGTTACAAGGTCAGTCAGATTTACTCTGCCCATATGCATAAGGTTAGTGGGTAAAAAAAAAATTGTTACACAATTAAGTTAAAATGAAATTCATTGGTCTTGGGGAAATATTTGCATACAGCAAGTGAATGTAAACTAAAATGTGTTGTAAAATTGCCCCAGACACAGTTTTCATGTAAAATGCATATATAATTGAAAAAGAAGTTAAAGTTCAGTATTCTACCAACACACAGGGCTGCAGAGGGAAAGGATTTATTTGTGAATTGTGTAAAAATGTTGAGGTGATTTTTCCTTTTGAAGACCAATCAATATCCTGTTTTCAGTGTTCTACTGTCTTCCACAAGTAAGTATTTAAGGTATCTAATAATAAAAAGTAAAATATATAAATAACATTATTTTATTAATCCTTACCTTAAAAATCTGGTTTGTGTGTAACTTAATTAAAAATTTACAATAAATACAACTTGCATACTTAATTTAGTTTACACTATAAAAATCATTGTTCGTGAAAGCTGACGACATAAATAGCACCTAGTCCACTACTGTATCTGTCATATCTTAGCTGGCCTGATAAGCCCTGATATTGGATGAAAGGTCTTATTGACAATAAATATGGCAGATGTAGTGTGATTGATGTATTATGTTCTTCTTTACTTTCACTCGTAACTTCTCAGAATTCCATATTGGTTATCTATTAATGATATTCACATTTTTTCCATAAATAAATTTATTCCCAAGTAAATACTGTTTTCACAAATAAGCTACTTTTTTTAAAGTTGTCATGCCATCCGGCTTCTTTACAGAGTGTACATATAAATGTCATTCTTTTTATACAGTGCAATTCAATATAATTTTGTATTGTTTAAGTACCTACTTTATTTTTTATTGTTATATGCTCTCTTCACTTGTGTACAGTTTTATTTTATTTTTCCTAGATAAATAATTTTGAGTATTTGCACTTTCCATTAAAGCATCTATAGTTCAAAACAGTCATCTTCTGCCACCATTGTGCTGCTCTTTTTTTTTCCATCTGTGTATCATTACTTGTCTTTGGCAATGGTGTATCTTTCAGTTTCTTTACAACACCGTGTATGAACTGTTTTCTCATCAGTAGCTAAGTGTATTTTTTTGTTTACCCAACATATGAAACATTGGGATTTGAAAATTCTCCTTTTATTTTCTCCATGTAAAGGAAGATTTATTCTGTTTCCTTTTTTTTATGTTGTCTATTTTCTGAAAAAAAATATATCATTCTCTGTAATCTTAAAATTTTTGTGTCTTCTATTTATTTATGTATGTGTGTGTGTGTGTGTGATGATCTACTTTTTTGATCAAAAGTTAAAAAAATAGTCAGCATGGCTTTCGTTTTTCCAGGGAGTGTTATATGAAGAGGAAAAACTGCTGTCCAAAGTGCAAGAGACGACAAAGGCAGATAATTCTTCATCAAAATTTATAGTTTCTTCAATTCAGAATTTTAGTATTAAGTGCTCTTATATGTAGACAGTGAAAACACCCCCATTTATGATATGTAAATGGTGATTCACATAAACAATTCAGTAACTCAACCTTTACTGAACAGTATTATTAGCTTACCTAATAACGACTACTAGTGAATTGTTGCCAAATCCAACATTTTTAACTTTTTCATTTGAGGATCTATATAAATGGAATACATTTCATAGATTGAGTTTAAATTGATTCATACAAACTTAGCATGTGATGCGAGTCATATTAGATTTTGAAGTTGGAACTCGCACATTAACTAATTTCAGGTTTAGCATATGTCGTCTTAGTGTGGAAATAGGAGGCTGGTGAAAATAATGAATATTTTATTATTAGCATGTAAAATGTAGGTATCACACACTTTGTTAGAGTTTATGTTGAAAACAAGAAACTGGAATATGCATTTTTTTTCTAATATATATGTATATCATTACTATCCAGGAGCATGGGCTGGCTGTAGTAGAGCTCTTGATATCAGAGCTGGGTTCGAATCTGTTTAGTACCACAGAATATTCCCCACATTTTAAGCAGTGGGTGCATTATAAGACTGATATTCAATTCACTATTGAGGGTGGTAGGGTGCTGCTGATTGGCTGCCTTTCATCTGGTCAGTAGTTCAAAACTGGGATGGCAGCAAATAGCCTTAATAGCTTTGCTATAGGTACAAATACAGATTAATTCTCAAGACAAATACCATTAAGATTATGCATATTTTATGTGGTGTTATTATTTAGATATGTTGTATAGAACTAGATAGATTGGCCAAACATATAATATGTAATTTGTCACAAAAATATAAGCCAAGGTTTCACCACAAACAAGAATTTTCAATTTGATAATTTTCTTTAAATTAATTGAAACTTCATTCCAAACCACTTTTGCAAACAGACATCAATCTTGCTTAAATAGTTTCAACAGTAATTTGTGGAGTAAGTAGTGTTGTAATTAATTCTATACTTTACTTGAAATTACTCTTCACAAAATGGCATATACTGAGAAAGGTACTATAAACAGTACTTAATGTTAAACAAAACTGCATTAAAATCCAATAATAGATTTTAAAGTGAATTTTTTTTTAATTTGATTAAAACTATCAATAAATTAGTTTCTGGCAAACTTATGAAGTAGGAGGTACAGCAGTTTTTGGTGAAATGTGTCTTATAAAAAATACTATATTTTCTTTGTACATTGAAAAAAATGTATATTGGAACATTTTTATTACATACCTGTGCATTTAAGTTACATCTAAAGGTATGTACAAACAAAAATTTCGTACCCTAAAACTGTACTCTGTGTAATACAGTTTATTCTCATAACCTAAATTTTATTAGATTTCTTGACCAGTTTTGCTCTCTACGACTCATTACCTCTTCAAAGAAATCTTAAATGCTATTTGTCCAAATCTATATATAGTAAGTTATTAAAATCATTTCTAAATCTTTATGGTCTAATCTGATCAGAACTGGGCATAATGAAAATATGACAGTTCAGGAGTATTGCTTTTATCCATACATGAATATGTAATAGGCTGAAATAAATTTTAATAATTTACTCCTGCTTTACCATGTATGTTCTTATATGATAACATGTTTCTAATATAAATATTTTGAACTGATTTAATTTATGGATTCATTACAGAAAGTGTTACTGTATCATTACTCTTTCATAGCAATTGCAATGAAGGCTTAACATGAGATAAGCTTATTTTATGCTTCTCTGTGTGTTGGCGTATCATTGTGGACCTTTCCTCTAAAATGTTTTTTAATTATTTTGTTTGTTAAGGTTTAGACAGTCCTGGATATCAAACATTTATATATTATAAATATTTAGTACATTCAGATTAGTAAATAAACCTATTTGTCCTTAGAACAAGAAGGACTGTAACTAAAATCTCCATTAATCAATGCCCAAGAACACATTTTACTCATTACTAGCATAATAAAGATTTTTTTTATGATGATATTCACAAGTTTATTTTTTTAGGATTAATTTGAACAGTTGAATTAAATGATGTTAACCAGTAAATTACAGCATAAGTTAGAAAAATGAACAAGGCTTAGGCAAAAGAATAGTTTTCATTGGGAATTCCAAGGTGTGAATTGTAATTTGTAAGAGTGATTAACTGTTTTTACATGTATTGATCAATAATTTTCAGTGTACAAGATGCACAAAGGATACCAGCTGTACACTTTTTTTTTATTAATTGTATAGGTATTGTATGATTATATTTTGTGTATCTGTGAAAATTGTGTAATCCAATAGTTTGAACAATTTTAACATTATTTATTCCATTGTTATATAGTACTTTTTAACATTTGAACCATGATTATATTAAAATATTGTTAAACCTACTGATGTCATATTGTCTCTTTTGTTTCATTGCATCAATTTTCCTCATCCTATTCCAGGTGTTGACTACACCAGGATAAATGGAACTATCTCTAAGAGGATATTAACGAGACACAAAACACTGAACTTCTGGCATACACATTCCTCTCATGAAGCCTTCTGGCTATGGTATGTCTTGATACAGATATTCATGTAGCTGTGGATATCTTTCGTTCGAGATAGGCAATGGCATCTGCCAGTTAGAACCAGATAACATTCATCTTGATATGTTTTGATCATGGGACAGACTTGGACACGTTTATGGGCAGCATCATTTGTCTCCTCATATTGTTTCCAGAGTCTGGATACCACGTTTTGGGAAACATTTAACCTTCTTGCAACCTGCCTTTTCCATTCATCCTTGCTCTCCATCATAGACTGTCATTCAAACGGTGATTAGTTAGAATGTTCTGGGATAATCTGACAGCGATCAAACAGCAAGATGAGGAGAGCGGAGTTTGAGCGTCTTTTTTTTTTTTGTAGGGCGCGTAATTGACATGTTTGCAAACTACACAGATAGAACTTTTGTTGATTACAATCAAACAGTAACTCATGTGATTTTATTTTTTATTAATAGTTAATGCTCCTTGATTTTTGGACACCAGTGTATTCCATATTCAACCTGTTGTTGTTATAACGCAAAGCTACATAATGGGCTCTCTGCACTCTGTCCACCCCCTTCCAAGTGGCACAGCGTTAAGTCTGTAGACTTGTAACGTTAAAAACTGGGCTTCTATACCCATAGTGGGTACAGCATAGATAGCTCATTGTGTAACGTGTGTACTTATCTAAACAAAAGCTCTGTCATCAGTAGGCAATTGAACCCGATATTTTATTGGGGTGGAGGCGTACTCGACTCATGTAATTAGGTCTACCGTATCCTAATAGTCATAAACATGGTAATATTCACTTTTAACTAAACAGTTCAGTATTTGAATTAGGTGTGTTTTCCAATACTTGTTCAAGTTTTATAATGACAAAGTCTTGTTTATTTATGCATTTTATGTTCCCCTTATTGGCTCAGTGATAAGTCTGAAGGCTTATAACACTAAAAACCGGTTTCCATACCCCTGGTGGGCACAGCCCAATTGTCCGTTCTGTAACTTTGCGCTAAACAACAAAAACGAAGCATTTTACGGCAATTTTTATGTGAAATATTTTCATGAGTCCTTAAATATTCAAATAAGGATATCATTTGAATTATATAGCCATCTTATGTGTGATTTTTTTTGTTCCATATAAAATATTGACAGATATCAGAGTGGGTTTTATCCGAACCTACAACATAAAAAAAACTATCTTTAAATATTTGATAACGAGGAATACACTTTTAAGAAAATAAAAGTTTTGAGACTGCTTACATTTATAATAAAGTTTTTCATTACCTAGTCAAGCCGTCTCAATACTTTTATTATCATTAAATATACAGAATTTGGTTTGTTTGTGCAATCTTGTGGTTCTAAAGCAAAATGTCTACATTCTTTGTGAGTTTTTGAATATTTTAATACACTTGTTGACGCTGTCGTAGTGGGTTTTATCTAAACATAGAAAAGAAAAAGTAGTAGTTGTTAAATCAATTTTTCTAATAGTAACAATTGATATATTTCTTCATTTGTTTTATATTTCCATTAGAATGAGAGAACTTTTAAATAAGAGACTGAAAATTCTATTTTGTCACAAGAGAGAAAGTACAACTTTTCAAATTAAGGAAGTAACTCTAAGCTCGCCATACATAAATAATCAGATCTTATAAATCTCCCGCGTTCTCTACTGTTATTGGATTTCGACTTTAGTATTCTTACAAACTAGAAATCGCAATAAGTGGGAATTATTTTTCTTTGAACATTCAGGACTTTGGAATAAGTCCTATCAAAAATGAATAAAGGTTATACATACAGAAAAATTTATTTCGGTATTGAAACTGAATAACATTCAAATATGAAATGCACAATATCAATGATACCAAAATAGAAATTACGTTTTGTGTTGGATTTTCAAATTGATATAACGTTCAACTCGTGTTTTAACATAATTTTTGTGGGTGAGATCGCTCTAATTCTAAGGAAATTAATCAATTTAGTTTCACCCCTTTGATCGTGAAAAAATAAGTTAATATCGATGCATGGCTTTGATTCTGAGTAAGTCAATCAACGTCTATCTGTCCCTTTGATCCTAGGAAAATTAGTTGATATCGATGCATGGCTTTGATCCTGAGTAAGTTAATCAACGTCTATCTGTCCCTTTGATCCTAGGAAATTAGTTGATATCGATGCATGGCTTTGATCCTGAGTAAGTTAATCAACGTCTATACATCTTTTTTTGATCTTGGCAAAATAAATGATTCTATAGATCGTTATGATGGGAAGTTCATTATTGTAGATGACATTTTATTTCTCTTCTGGATCTCCAAATTGAGAAGTATTGAGCACATTGGTTGTAATAGGAATTGTTGCCAGCACGATTGCTCTTGACGCATGAGTTATTTGCTGTTAAAGTAAAAGCAAATATATAAAAAATTATATCATAAATAAACATTATTAAACTGTATTAAATTTGGGGAATGAGTGTGGAAGTTATCTTAACCTGATTTGGTTAACCATAAATCCTTCATTTATAACGAGATTCTAATTCAATCCAAATAAAATAAATTATGATGTAAATTCAATATTGTTTACTTGTATGAAAAGTTAAAGGACCTTTGAAAATGCCAACATTCATATTAAAGAGAAAAATATTTATCTAAGCACTCTACGTACACTTCGGCTATAGGTGCCATCAACTGTTTTACACAACTGAGTTTGAAACCTTGTCTTCTATTAGTTGTATATGCGGAAAGTCGTTATATCCCCCCCCCCTCTTGGGTTGGGGTTAACTAGTCAGAAAATACATAGATTTTAGTCATTTTTGTTTCTAACGTCTTCTAGTGTTAGCACGCTGACTAACATGTTTACAGTGTGCTTTTATAAATAAAATATACCGGCATCTCTTATGCCATCTTCATAAGCACACAAATTACTGGTGATAACATCTTTAGCACAAAATATCGATTTGATTAAGTGACGTTTATTGTGAAATCAAGTTGTTCATATTAAAAGAAGTGCACTGGACAATCCTAATTTATAGCAGCGTGTATAATGTTTGAATATTAGGCAAATTAGCGCCCTCTCTTGGTAGATGAAATAGACATGGTGTTTAATGTATCGGAGCATCGCTCGGGCTCTTCCATAGTATCTAATAAAAATACTTTTTAACAGGTACGACGGGAAACACATAGTGATATTCCGATTACACTGAATAGATCCTTGCTGTTAATTTTATTCATTTATTTATTTAACCTATGATGCACAGTTATTTCAGTGTTTTTGTTGTATCCGCGTAATTGGGTCTTAATTAATAATGAACTGTTATCAATGAAATATAAACTATTTTATTATTCACGATTTATTTATTTATTAGTAAATATGAAAATGAGATAGCGTTGGGATATTTAGTAATTTTGTTTCCTTTCAGTGAGCATGTTAAGTTGCATGGGATATAATAATGACGACAGTAAGCGTGTTAAATTGCATGGGATATAATAACGACGACAGTAAGCGTGTTAAATTGCATGAGATATAATAACGAATAGATGTACTTACAGCTTTGCAGGTATTGATGAAACATGTTGTCTGATCAGGAAGCAGGGGCGGTGACAATCCAAACTAACCCAAAAAAAGTATTTTGTATTTTATTCATCATTTGTACGAGAAATTCACGTGAACGATTGTTAAACTACGTTTACCAGAAAGTTGTCTCACAAAAAGTATTGACAGTCATAATTGAAAATACTTGGAGAATGGAATAAAAAGCTCATTTAAGAAATGTTTCAATTTGAAAAAACGAATATATATATATATATATATTCGTCTTTTAAACTGAAGCATTGATACACATACTCTTAATTAATGGCCTTATGAAGCAATCGGTAGTTGCTTTCGAATCACATCCAGAGATAATCAACCGGTTATACGTCACACATAGCAATGGATATAGCAAATAAATGTTTACAAAATAGCTTGAAACCGACGTAGATGTTTACTCTAGCATTTGTGAACGGTTTCCTAAGAGAAAACGGGGTAATTTTAAATTAGCTATCTCTCTTCATTGCTATATCAAGTGTTTTGGGTATCAGGGAGATTTCAATGATACATGGGTTACGTTCGAAACTGGGTGTTGCCAAGATATCATTTATGTACTTCCAAGAGTTATAAGTATTTTTAGAAAATTTTTATGAAGAGAAACAACGAGTTTAATAATTCAGCTATAACATAAATATCTTGTAATTATATAAGAAAAGGAAAACACAACATAATATTTTAATCTCAAGAATGCATTACTTGTAATTACCAGCAATTTAATTGTAGTTTTTCTTAGAACTTTGTGCTGTAAGGGCGATTACATTTTATGGTGAAACGGTGATCATCACATAGAATAAAATGTGTTACTAATGTCCAGGTAAACAAATTGAATGGCCAAAGTGTTTATCATTGGATAAAAAATAAAAATTCCCGTCAAAATGCTAAAGATTATAATCTCACCTGTCTTGTACATGCCAGAACCTAGAAAAGATGTAAAATTATATTTTCATTACGAGCAGATACTACATTATTTGTATTGAAAGTTTAGCTAATTTTTTTATGAACCTTACTAGCAGTATTTTTTTATTTACTAGCAACTATTACTTATATGCATTTATACAGTAAACTTTTAACATACATTTTTTGAAAATAAGAGGCTTATTCAGAGAGTGAACTGCGATTTTAATCCGATTTTATGTAGTGATAAGAAGCGTATATGAGTGACAATAAAAAATAATCGCTTTACTTCTCATTCTAAAATATTTGAATAAAAAATGGATGAAATAAAAGTTAATCGGTTTTTAAATCATTAAACTGTTACAAAATGATTGTTGGCGTATATGCTACAATGATATTTATGCTTTATTAAAATACGTTATATTTTATCAATGTGGTAATTTGAATTTAAACCACTATATGCTTTTTCATTTCATACACACACAAACAAAGAATAATCGCAGAAAGCTTACCGTGTCGCCAAATGTTTTGGCGTTGCATAGAACACACTGGCCCTGTAGTTATTAAAGAAACAAAACAACATATCTTTATTTTATTCATTGGCATTATAACATTAGTAACTAACACGAAATAAATAATAAACTTACTTTGATAATGATTGCAAGCAACAATAAATATGCAGTTGCTAGGTGATGTGAGTTACTATAGAAACTTATATCCTTATTTTTCAAACACAACAGCTTCCAGTAAGAAAAAAAAAGAGAGTTAAAACATAGGTCTGATTTAATTATATTCTAATTTAAATACTAGCAAAAAATACTCGGAAAAAGGTAACACTTATATTACTAACACACAGCAATAATATCAAACTTATGTTTTTTAAACCTTTAGGCATTTTTGACTTACAAATTATTCTACATAAGTTTGTTTTTTAATTTTTCTCTTTATAAAAGTTCTGTTCTCTTACCTGATTTTGCAAAGGAATGAGGCAAAGTTGTACCGCCTGTATAAATTAAAATGTATTGGTAAATTAAACTTTATAAAGATGTTTACTTAGCGTTTTGGTCAAATTCTTAATTACGTGTAAAAACTGTTTATATATTTAGGTATAGTGAAAATATTATGAATATTTCAAAACGTTTATCAATTTCTTTACTATCCATATGCTACAATATGATTAATGCTTTATTATTAAGTTATATTTTGTCAGTATGGTAGCTTATATTTATACCAATATATGATTTTTTTATTTCATAATTACTTCTTAAGTATTAATGACAACATAAACTTACATATTTTGGGAAAAGAAAAGACTGCCCGATAGAGATGCATAGACCTAAGGCTAGAAACAATACGTATCGCTTCATCCTAATTATAAAATAAAGAATTAGATTATACACTTCAAACTGTATATTGTATTTACGACATTTATACTTGTAAAAAACAATGAAAGAATGTCTTAGTAAAAATGTGCAGCAGCAAGTTTATCACATATATGTACAACTAAACTGGTAGATGGCGCTAGTGAATGATGCAGAAATCATTTTATTAGATCCGTAAGAAATTCTTTTAATTTTGAACATTTTCAAAAATTGAAAACATTATCAATAACCTTTTGCTTTCTCCTATAATTTTGAAGTGAATGATCTGGCCAGTGTATTACACATGAAACTGAATGTTTCCTTATTTTATTTCAAATTTTCAAGATGCTCCACAGTTTCAACTTCAACATAAAGAGCCCCCTCAGTGGCTCAACGGCAAATCCGAAGTCTCATAATACTTAACAACAAAAGATCAACATAAAGAGAAATTAAACATAAATGGTTCTTTGACATTGGAAAATCAAATGACAGAACCATGATTTCACAATGACAAATTATGTTTTTACAGTAATTGCTTTTAAAATAATCAAAATACGTTTAAACGGCTTAAAAGTTTGAAAATTAATATTAGGCCATCTCCTTTTGTTTCATAACGAATATATAAAAATACAGTCTTATTTATGAATGCAAATGCTTGTTAAATCAATAGAACATAATTCGAATTCTAACTTTATTTATATATATATTTTCCTACTTTTATTTCTAGAAGAAATGTGATTTTAATCATTTGATTACTTAAAATGTTTAGTTCAATAGGTAAAAAAAAACTTACATGATTATTGAAAGTTAGTTGTTGGACAGGTATTCGGTATAGATACAACAGCTGTTACACTCCTGTAGTCAACAAGTACTATTAGGGATTTCAAATCACCCTTACTTTTATATGTGAAACTCCAATGAATTTTCCTAAAATCACATTATGTGTCTTAGTAACAGTATCTTGATAGATTATAACGTTGATTTATTATTATTAAAAAAGGATATGACTAACAAAAACATATATACGCCTGTGTGTGTTTGTAATCAGCCTACACATATTATCAAAAATAACGTTTGGAAACAGTACAATTGACGTAATCGTAGAGTGCTGTTTTATTTGAGCTTTTTTATAACATCAAGTTACTGTACAGTACTGTACACAAGTTCTTCTGATGATGAAATTAACAAGTTGAACAGGAAGGTAATTGCTGTAAGGTTTTGCAAATAAGCATGTTGAAATCTGAAGGAAGTAAAAGAGAAAATAACTTAGGGACTTGGAAGAGTTGAGATTTGGGTCATTTCCTTTAACAATTAACCCAAGTTAAAGAAATAAAATGACACGTTTTTTAACACTTTAATAAAATTAGGAAAAAAGATTGATTGATTTTCTTTATTAACACAAACGTATATGCAGATCAAATGTGAACGTTTGTTTGGTTTAGAGCAAAGCCATACTGGGTTATCTGCTGTGTCCACCATGGGGAAATGAACGCCGGATTTAAGCGTTGGAATTACGTAGACTTACCGCTGTCCCATCGAGGGTCAAATGTGAACGTAAAAAATACGAAAATGCAACGGATTCACGCTAAAAAATTATTGAAGTCCAAAAATGTTGTTAGCATGTTTCTTTGTAATTATTGTCTTTTTTTTTTTAGTTTACAATATTGTTATTTTAAATCGAAGAATGTCCTATCCCTCCAAATCCTGAATATTAATCTTGAAAATAATATTTTTGATTTTTTGTAATAAAAGGGAATGCAGAACTGAAATCAATTGATAATTAAACACTCGCACTTCTTTAAACTGGCATTGAAATACTTTTTGATTTTTAATTGAAATATTTTTGTTTGTTTATTTCAACGCAAAGCTACACAGTAGGATATCTGCGCTCTGCTCACTACAAGAAACAAACCCCTGGATATTAGCATTGTAAGTCTGTTAACTTGCCGCTGTCTCATTTTATTAACAAACAGGTAATGCAATGAAGCATTTTATGAAAAAGTTGCAGAGATACACTAGTGTTATTTAGATTAGACTTATTCCAAATAAATATTACTGGTATGGACTCATTTCTGTATGACAGTTTTCTCTTCAGAAGTTTAACACGGAAAGCTGAGTTTTTCAAACAAGTTAAAAATTGAGGTTGAAAGGTTAATGTAAAATTTAATCAAAGCAAATCAGCAAATAAGAAGTATAGAATAAATCAATTATGTCGTACCACAGGAATTTAAAACATGCCGTATGTTTGTTTGCTTCGACTTACGAAGTTCTTATAAAATATGTATGTGGGTTATTCATGTGATCACTTTCAATTCAAGATGCTATTAGCAAATTGAAATTATCTTCTTAGTACTTCATAAAGAATTTTCAAAGAATTATTTTTATAAGACTTGTAATACATGACGCATGCGCTGTGAATATAAGAATAAAAGTTATTAATAAAAAAATACTGATTTAATGGAATAGTTTGCTAAAAAGATCACAGAATATTTTACTTATGCGAAGAAATTTTTCTACAGTAAGAATTTTATCTTATAACTGAAATCACTAAAACTTTGGATACTAGTTTTTTGATTTATACAAAATTTCGTAAGTTTTATGAATCGTATTTTGAAATTACAGTCCCCTTATGTACTTATATCCAACTGTAAAATTGGAAAATTGAGATTTAACAACTAAAGAAAACTGCTATAACGAAAAAAAAAAGATTTATTTCATTATAAAATGAATAATTGCTACCTAGTCATTTTATTTTATCATTACACCTGAAGGCAATGGCACAGCGGTATGCCTGCGGCTTTATAACGCAAAAAAACCGGGTTTCGATACACGTGGTGGGCAGAGCACAGATAGCCCATTGTGTAACTTTGTGCTTAATTCCAAACAAAACTTCTAAAAGAGTATGGTTAATGTGTCAGACTGAGTTGAATTTTGTATTTTTTTCTAAATTATGATGTTTTATATTTTTAATGTAAGAGATCATAAAATATTCCTTTCGAGTTGTATTATAATGCGCATTAAGTTTTTTACCTTACACATCACTGGCTCGTTTCCGATTTGCATAAATAAACAGTCACATTTTATTTTATTATTGCCATTTTGCTTACGTGACAATAACATACGTTTCCACTGTTTAATTCGCAACTCAACGTTTAGTGGAAACCTCGCTTCCACATAGTGAAATTGTCCATTTCATGAAATGGGACCACATCATATAATAGCTTTTAGCTTCGCAATCTGGATGGTAAAAAAAAAAACCCAAAACAGTTAAATAGATCTATAATTTTTCTACATTTTAATTTACATACTTTTTAATAAGGCCCGGCATGGCCAGGTGGTTAGGGCGCTCGACTCGCAATGTGAGGGTCGCGGGTTCGAATCCCTGTCACACCAAATATGCTCGCCCTTTCAGCCGTGGGGGCGTTATTATGTGACGGTCAATCCCATTATTCGTTGGTAAAAGAGTAGCCCACGAGTTGGTGGTAGATGGTGATGACTAGCTGCCTTCCCTCTAGTCTTACACTGCTAAATTAGGGACAGCTAGCGCAGATAGCCCTCATGTAGCTTTGCGCGAAATTCAGAACAAACAAACTTCTTAATAACCATCGAATTAAACTATGTTTTTCGGTCTTAAATAGGTATTCCATAGGCAGTACTGTGTTGTTCCTGTAAGTTATGTACAATATTCAACCATGATTATTTACGAAGGTATTCTGGTGTTATTGCTGTTTGTGAGATTAGGTTCTACTCTTATCAGAACACCTCACTCTGCTGAACAGATTCATTCCGGAATTAATCCTTGTAAATTTATTCCACGACGTGTAGCCATTTCATGAAATGAACAGTTTTACAGTGTGTATATTACAGAAATATGTTAAAACTACAACAAATAAATCATTTTATCTGAATAAAAATTTTCCTTTTTACTTGAATTACCCCGTGACCTTCTAGACGAATGCACACGTTTGCAAAGGTTGGAGCCAATCATAAAATAGTCTAAGGAAAACAACACAAATGAGGGCATAAACATTATTTTATTGTCGTTGGATGTCTCAAAATAGAACTACATACCAGTACTGATTTATATATATATATATATATAACATATATAACGAAAATAACAAAGCTCTCATTTTGCAGGATGTTATATGCTAAATATGCAGCACATATTCAGAAATACTTATTTCACTTTTATTTGTAATACAAGTGGCAGTTCAGCTCTTTATTTTGTAACTTACACGTATATATATAGCATGTTTTGTTTCTCCAAATTAATATAGATTTCAAAAACCTAAGTAGCAAGTTAGATTAGCATATTCATATACATTTATCTATATCGCTAAACATACATTATAATCAGTAAACACTAATATAACAAAAATATTTCATTTTCAATTTAGAGCAAATTAAAGATGCAAAAGTTTTGGTCGAGCCAGCCAGGATTCGAACCTGGAATCTTCTGATCCGTAGTCAGACGCGTTATCCGTTGCGCCACTGGCCCTGCGTAAATGGTGATTTTTAATAGGAATTTAAAATAAATTTCTCTCTCTCTCTCTATATATATATATAAGGTGTAAGTATTTTATCCTATAAATTTAAATTCTAAATAACTTTAACATCGAGTACATTAATAAATTTTATATGCTGAAATTGTTCACGTTAACATCAACAAACCTGTTGGAATACCCTATATACTTTCAATGACCTATAACGACAATCGGTTGCAGCCTTATGTGTAACCGCGGCAAATAAAGAGGCTACATATATTTTTCGTTATCAGCATATTGCTCACATAATAACGTTTGTAACTAATAGTTATCTTTTGCAATATGTGAATGTAGATACAAGCTGGTTTATCGTTAAACGTTACAAAGTGCTAAAAAACTAAATCCAAGATTCCGAGTGAAAATAGTTGTTACGTGAAATTTATTTTGGTTAATGTAAATTTTTTTTATCTAGAATGTCAACATTTTTTGTCCAGCTGAATTGTACATTACAAATTTTCAAGCAGTCATCTACGGAATCAAAACAGCAGACGTGAGTTTTAAAGCTTTTTCACCAGTTGATTAAATATGTGAAATATCGTTTTAATGTAGCAGCTTGTCAATGAACTTGAACGCTATGTATTGTCTTTAACTAGGTCCTCAAATCTATATTACTGTGAAGACCCGAGAACCACGAACTATGTTTATCCTTCAAATTACCACAAGTTTAAGAGTTGACTATATTTTTGCATGAAAGTAAAAGAGCTAAATGTTACATGATTTATGTTTCAAAATAAAAAAAACAACAAAACATTTTGATATCCTTTTTTTCTTTAATGTCTTTATCTGTTTGTTATTTTCAATTCTACATTATTTAAAGGTTTGTAAAAATGTCTTACTGGTAATAAGAACAATCTTTGGAAATTGAAATTCTTTCTTAGAAGATTTAAACATAAACATAGATGACACACACACTGTATTTATTGTACTCTGCCATTTATAACACATAGCAAGCCAGTTTCTGCAGGAGTAATATCTGTCAACAAAAGCAATAGTATCGAGAGGTGTATGCATCTTCTAATGCATCACATTAAAATAGATTATCAATAATATATCAATTTATATGTGCTGCCCCCTGTGACTGAAAATTTGAAGTTTGGTTAGAACGTAGTTTAAGTTATAAGTTGTGATGCGTCTTGTACATCCACCATTTTATTTTATTTCCTCAGAATGTTTTTTTATGATATGATTTTTATACATTTTGTATAATACGTCTTAAATTTTATACCAGATATCCTGTTTTAACAGTACTAACCAATAAAATTCACTTGTTATCAAAAGTGAGCATATTTGACTGTGAAGCAATTCAAGAATATTGGTGCTATCTGTAAA